AGGATAACTTTCAAGGTCGTACGATTTTGGAAGTAATTCACCTAAGGGCCAAATAATCTAAACACATTGCAACAGTGCGACGCTAACCCTTGTTTTGATTGGCGACACACTCATTTGTATTCCAATAGCATAATTATGACGTGCACAGACGCAAATAAACATGCGCTTAAATGCAGAATCAATGACAACGCCAATAATAAAAAAAAAACTCTTGCTTTTGGAGCGTATTTTTTAAGATGGCAAATACAATGACATGTGAGTCGTATATAAATTCACCAACATTTTATTCTTAATTCATGCTCTAACCAATACTGCATTATTGTATTAGTACCTGAATATTCAGAACGATTAGAACAATGTTTAAATAAATACAAGATAAAACGTTTTGATAATTTACGGCTTAGCACTAGCGATATTAAGGTAGTTGGAAGGGGATGATCTGCTGTTGTATATTCCACTAATTATAAAGGAAATAAATATGCTTTAAAAAGTTTTAACATGTTATATATGGATGATAAAACGTTTAATACATTTATTAGAGAGGTAATATATTTTCCATCCGTAATTAGATTCCTAAGTATCAAATATAATAAATATATACTATATATTTAATATTCAGCTTAAAATTTTCAATCAAAATGACTGTCCAAATATAATTAAATTCTATGGGATTTCGAAAGGTATGAAAATATAAATGAAGTTAAATTTAATTATGAACTCTAATCCTGATTATTTATAATTTAGTTTACCCAGAACCAATAGATGATTTTTCAACTAGCAAATTTGTGTTAGTACTGCAATTTGCCAAAAGTGGTAGTTTGCGGGATTATTTAAAAACTAAGCTACACAATGATTTTTATAAAATTTCATGGAATGAACTCATAAAAATCGCAACCGAAATTACTAATGGATTAAAATATTTACATGACAACAATATTATTCATCGAGATTTGGTTGGTTAATTTAATATTGTTAACATTCATTTTTTTTATTAAAATTCTAAATTTAATGTTTACACGTAAAATCTCTCAGCACTCCAATAATATTTTGATTGATGATGGTAAAGCTTTGATTGCAGACTTTGGATTTTCAAAACTATTAAACGATACTAATAATTCGACCAGCGAAATTATGGGAATGCCGGCATATATTGATCCACAATGTATTCAGAATCAAAATAAAAAATCAGATAAGAAATCCGACATTTATAGCTTAGGAATGCTGCTTTGGGAACTTACAAGCGGAATTCCGCCATTTTATGGTCTTTCTAACGAGGCTGTTTTATTAGGAATCTTGCAAAAAAACAGAGAGAAAGTTGTTGCTAATACTCCTTTAGATTATGTTAATCTATACGAGATGTGTTGCTCTTTTGAACCAGATCAACGTCCAACGCTTGACATAATTTTGAGTAAGCTTAATAAATTATCAGGCGTCGCAACTATTAAATTCATTATAAATAAAATTGCACAACAAAGAAATTCTAATATTCGAGGTAAATCTTTATTTGTTAATATAAGTACTATATACTTTATTTAATTTTTCTAATTTGTAATAACTAGATGAAAATGGTATTCTTGACTCAAACTCTTCTAATGAGGTCCACAGCACACTTAGCTCGAATTTTCCAATCGTAGGTTTCTGAAAAAAAAGGAAAAAAAATACAACATGTGGGAGGATATCAATAATCATGCAAACTATCATGATAAGGTGCAACCAACCAATTAGAATATTTATACA